GACACATGTTGATGTAGAAGAGACATGAAGAAGAGGGGACACATGTTGATGTAGAAGAGACATGAAGGAGAGGGGACACATGTTGATGTAGAAGAGACATGAAGAAGAGGGGACACATGTTGATGTAGAAGAGACATGAAGAAGAGGGGACACATGTTGATGTAGAAGAGACATGGAGAAGAGGGGACACATGTTGATGTAGAAGAGACATGGAGAAGAGGGGACACATGTTGATGTAGAAGAGACATGGAGAAGAGGGGACACATGTTGATGTAGAAGAGACATGGAGAAGAGGGGACACATGTTGATGTAGAAGAGACATGGAGAAGAGGGGACACATGTTGATGTAGAAGAGACATGAAGAAGAGGGGACACATGTTGATGTAGAAGAGACATGAGGAAGAGGGGACACATGTTGATGTAGAAGAGACATGAAGAAGAGGGGACACATGTTGATGTAGAAGAGACATGAAGAAGAGGGGACACATGTTGATGTAGAAGAGACATGAAGAAGAGGGGACACATGTTGATGTAGAAGAGACATGAAGAAGTGGGGACACATGTTGATGTAGAAGAGACATGGAGAAGAGGGGACACATGTTGATGTAGAAGAGACATGGAGAAGAGGGGACACATGTTGATGTAGAAGAGACATGGAGAAGAGGATTTTGCATAATAGGCGACCTTTAAAACTCTCCCGGTGAGTTAAACCTGTGTATGTTATGTTCTCACCTGGTGATACTTGAGCAACAGAGAGTGCAGGTAGTCGGGCAGGTAGAGGGACAGAGGGGAGGAAGGTGTGATGGAGCAGGAGTCGACCAGCAGGCCTGATATCGGGGACATGGACTGGTTGAGCTGCCAGAGGAAGATCTCCGGGCTGGAGAGCAGCAGAGCAGTGAGCCACACCAGAACCAGCTGCACCAGCACGGAGCGGCAGCGCTCCACCAGCCGGGCCTTGGGCTGCGAGGAGGAGGTGGCAGCGTGGAAACGAGCGATGCCCAGAGCGCACAGAGTGAAGGAGGTGAGGCCCAGAGACACGGCCTGCAGGAGAGGACGAGAACAATGGAGGTTGTTTTGAAGGTATTTGCTTTGGTAAGGCAAGTTTATTTATATAGCAACTTTAAACACAAGGACATGCACATTTCTATATCTGGCGGCAGTGGTTCAGTCTGTAGGGACTTGTTCTTGGAACCGAAGGGTCGCGGGTTCAAGTCCCGTGTGACCCAAACAAAAGAAAGAAGAAAGCTGGTAGCTGGAGAGGTGCCAGTTCACCTCCTAGGCCAGTTCACCTCCTAGGCCAAGGTGCCCTTGAGCAAGGCACCTAACCTTGAAACTGCTCCCTTGGTGCCGGATAACTGGCAGCCTCTCTGCTCTGCACATGGTTGTGTGTGTGTATCCTCCCCTGTGTGTGTAATGTGTGTAAACACAACAGAGTGGAGAAAGACATTTCTTCTATATGTCGTCTTCTTCTAAAGTGCTTGAATTGGTGTATTGGTGCAAAACTGAAAAATTAAAACAAATATTGCAAATATCATGAAATATAAATATAGAATAGAGTAGAAAGGTAATACAATAAACAATCTCAACAATATTAAAATAAAATGTATATTCGCAACATGTCTGATCTGCCAGACAACAAAAATCGGTAAACTAAACAAGGATTGGAAAATTCAACATTTTGGAAATGATATCCGATTGTTTTGGTATTACAGTAGGGAGTGATGTTAGAAGTAGAACTTTAAATATAAGAAAGCAGTGCTACCAAAAGCATGTGAGCTCTATGTTCTGGTTTTAGCTTTATGGTGCTTTCACAACTATGGGACTTTTCCCCACACTCACAGGGTATAACGTTTCACATCCGTGCAGCAAAGTTTTGGAAATCCTATCATGGCCAGAAAGATGAGTCCAAATACAGACATTATTTGTTCCTCTTTGTATACTGTGTTACAGTACAAACTCTCTATGATTGTTATTCAAAGGGATAAAGTACCAAACACTCTCTCTACCCAATGCTATCAGAATGTAATCAATCAAACCACATGAGGAAAGTAAAGGATCAGTCTGGTGTTATTTAATGTATCTTATAATCAACAAATCCCATATGCAGACCCATCCAACAACATTAGTCCGTCCCTCACTACTGAGTTAATGTTTGTGCACTCAGCAGAATCACATTGGTTCCCGCCAAAACGTTTACAAATGTATTTAAGTGTCTGTAATTTCTTTAAATTGCTATCTCAGCATACAATAATTCTCCGTTTTTAGCCAAGCTTAGCCTATTTACTGAACTGATGACTGAACTGTTCTACTTCTACTTTCATCAACTCCCAAACCTAAGTCTGTATTAAAAACCATGTATGTTCAGTTCTGCCAAGATGGACCAAAACACTGTCAAACATTCTCTGAACTGAAGACTCCAATATGGCCACCTGTAGTAAAGGGTCACAGATCATTCAAACACAGTTTCACCCCAAATTTGTTCCTGTCAAACCATGAAGGCAGCAGCAGGACGCCCCAGCAGACAAAGAACCAGGTCTCCATGGTAACTGACAAAAAAACTACTGAATCTCTGCTCTTTAGCAATAGTTCATATATCACAAAAATAAAGATAAGTAAACTGTTGTATATTTAGAACAAAACTGTGTCATATTAGATGTTTGGGCACTTTAACATACACACTTAAGTCAATATCTTTCAATTAAATGAAAATATATATAATTTGCAGGGACCAAAAGTAATGGTTGCCAAATGGCCATTTAAATTTGGCAACCAGTTATTTGACTTATTGGCATATGGACAGCAAACAGCAAGACTTCCAACCAAACATAATATTTGTTTTACATTTTTGCTGCATTTCATTTGTGATATAAAAATATTGCTGTTGCATTCCACCCTAAAAAATCTCAGAATTTACCAGTAGATGAAAAAAACCTTTGTCAAAATCTGTTTCACCCGCCACAAGTAACCACTTTAAACAAAATTACTTTCAATAAAACTTCCTCTTGCCCCTCCTACTTCCACATAAGCCCCACCCACCATCATATAAGGCACCATGCGGCAGGTGATGTCACCAATGATCCTCCTATGGGACAGCTGGTTGAGGACCACCACAGGAAGGCATAGCACCAGGACCAGGAAGTCCCAGAACGCCATTCTTTACATTTCCATCTCAGATTACAATAAGACTGAATTATAGTCAAGCTTAGCATATTGACTGAATTGATGACTGAACTGTTAGCCTATCTCCATCCAAAGAGGTACAATTCTACTTTCATAAACTCCCAAACCTAAGTCTGTATTAAAAACCATGTCTCTTCAGTTCTGCCAAGATGGAACAAAATACTTTCAAAAAATTACTTTCAAGCAATCTTTCTCTTGCTCCTCCTACTTCCTCATAAGCCCCACCCACCTCCATATAGGGCACCATGCGGCAGGTGATGTCACCAAGGATCCTCCTATTGGACAGCTGGTTGAGGACCACCACAGGAAGGCATAGCACCAGGACCAGGAAGTCCCAGAACGCCATGCTGGCCAGCAGGTAGTTCCAAGCCGACCTCATGTAGTAGTTGTTCCAGACGATGCACATGACCGCCATGTTTCCCACCACGCCCAGCGCCAGCACCAGGCCGGCCAGGAACAGAACTGCGTAGGCCGCGTACGAGCCTTCTGCCAGCGGGTAGAACGGGTTGAAGAGTCCTGGGGGGTCCAAGCTGGAGGTGTTTCCGTGGACCTCGTGATCGTTGTGGTCTCCTGCTGCTACTTTAGTCCCGTTGTCAAACGCTGTGTCCTGCGGTGTCGTGACGGAGTCGTTCTCAAAGGACTGGCTGAAGGTGGACTGTTGTTCTTCTTCCTCTGCGCCGCGGGCCAGGCGCCGGGGTTGGTCAACATCTAGATCCAGCATTTCTGGGAGTGGTAGGCTCTTGTTGGGGGCCTCGTCGGTCTTGAGCTGCTTGGAGATCCAGAGTGGTTCCAGTTTGACGAGGGATGAGGGTTTGTTGAGGGTGTCGCTCTGACTGTCAGGTTGCTGAACGGTCTTTGCGTCCGTCAACAGAAGCGGCAGAAAAAGGCCCAACCACAAAGCAAGAGTAGGGGCCATGATCCAAATATTTGATGTGGATGATTCCTCTTAAGATTCTTCTTATTGAACTTCAGACCTAGGTGCTGAGCTTCAATTAGAATGCCAAGAAAGTTCCCAAAAAGTGACAATATTCAGAAACCAAATGACCAACTTGATGCTTAGCAAAGTCGACGGTACCTTTCAGAGGGACGCAACTCTAGTTCAGAGATTCTGGAAAATGACTTCAAGACAGAAGTTTGTTGAGTAAAGTCGACAATTCCAGGGAATAAAAAAGGTTAAAATGCACCAAAGCTTGCAGCTGGTTGCTTGATGTCTACCAACGTTTCAGAAAGTTTCTAGATGATGAAGAAATGCAGATGTTTGCTAGATCGTCCAATAGATTTTTAATTGGTTTGTAGTCCAGAAAAGATGAAGGTGTCTTCTCTTCTCTTCTCTTCTCAGGCTTGTGGTTTTAAACTCTCAATACCCCCAGGTTTCCCACTTTAAAACTGGACTGTGTTCTTCCCATCCATTAGTAATCCAAACAGGCGCTGGAGCTCCAGGAGGGGGGGCGTAGGGCGAGGGTCCGTGTCCGTGTCGGGGCTGCTGTGTCTGGGCTGCAGATAGCAGAGAGACTGGGCGTCCTGGAGCTCTGAGGGTCTCTGGGAACAAGCAGCTATCTGCAGTATGGCTGGATGGAGCCTTTGTCAGCACACACACGCAAACACACACACACACACACACACACACACACACACACACACACACACACACACACACACACACACACACACACACAGTGACAGGCCTGCAAGCATACAAACAAGGTTGGCACTCACACAAATACACACATTTGTCTGCACGATCATGCATGCATACTTTCTTTTGCTCTTTTTGGCTTTCACTTTTCTCTCTAACTCACACACACANGGTGGGCCCGGGTGGGCCTGGGCCCCGCCACATGCACGTCTGGCCCACCCACAGCCAATCAGCGCTTCATAGCGCAACTTCCTTCTGGGCTTCCCGGCTCTGCGCTATGAAGCGCTGATTGGCTGTGGGTGGGCCAGACGTGCATGTGGCGGGGCCCAGGCCCACCCGGGCCCACCCACAGCTACGCCACTGGTTTGACCATCTCTGTTACTAAGTTATGGACAACTAAATAAATAAGTAAATACTGTGGATACCTTACCATTACTGGGCTCATAAAGAATGATAAGAATAAGAATAATGCGTCTTGAACTGGTTTCATTAATTAGTCTCTTTACGTTTCACAGACTGTTAGCTTGTTGTGGTAAGCTGGTAGCCTATTTTATTAAAGAGCATATCAAAAGAAAGACTTGTGTTATGTCTTCCTTAATGCAATAGTAATTGGGGGTGCAAGTGGAGTCTCGCAGAGGCAAAACTGTGGCGCGCTTACACTGTAGGTGCGCCGCAGTCTGCGTGATCTGCCTGTAGGGAGGGGCGGTCCGGCCCTGCGAGTAAAGTAACGAGTAAAGTAACGAGTAAAGTAACGAGTTACTTTATGTAGACAGTAACGAAGTAGTGTAATGTATTACTTTTTTTTTAAAGTAATATGCAATATACTACTTTTTTTTAGTAACGACCCCATCTCTGGTGATGACGTCCATACACACTGTTGAATTGGTTTCTGTTGACCAGCCAACCTGGCTATGGGTCTTCCATGACACAGCCACTGTTCTGCCTGCCCCAAGGTTGAGCCAGCGGTGAAAACACAATCTCTCAGGTCCTACTGCTAACTTGCAGGAGTTACTGTTAGTAATTAGCATTTAGCACTATTTTAGCAACAAGTAAAACTCAAGCAGCCAGTATCCATCAAAGGGAAAACCAGAAAATAATGTTTTCTATAAAATATGATGCAGTTCCACCAAAGACAACTAAGAGCGAAAAGCCTTATATGAGCACCGTCAACCGGAAGTAGGACTACAGCTTTTTTCTTCTTCTGTCCAGATGAAGGAGGTCCTCTGACCAGGATGTCAAAAATAGAAAAAGGACTTGAAATGGACTGGATGTGCTATTTTGTCTTGTATGCAGTATGAGTAGTATTCACATCCCATTTAAGCTGGTCAACATTATGGCATGACACTAGGTTTAAACAGATAACGCCTCCTCTTGCAGAGATTAAAACAGAAAGATTTCAAATCTATCGTAATAATGGCAGAGCAGCTTATGTTTCCATGTAAGACAGACTGCCTCTGTAGCCAACATGGCATGACTCATGAAGTTTGGGAGAGACAGATAGTGTGACAGAATAGGCCTGGAGGCTGTCTTTAATATTGAATGTGTCGCTGAATCAGCCTAATGGCTTAACACTGGTCTGTTTGGGGCAAGAATAACTTGTTATCAGTGTGTGTAGGGGTGAAATGGGGTGTTGTGTGTTAGTGTGTGTGTACTTACGCATTTCTGCAAGTGTTTGACCCAGAACTACACCAGTTATTACAGTCTCCATATTGTTAATAATTATCATCTTGAGGTTTAAACCAAAGTGCTTTATAAGTCTTTATCCAGAGTCTGTGTATAATCTATACAGTTACTGATGTATAAAGAGAACCGGACAAAAAGCATTATGGCCCACTGTTGCATAAAGCCAAAATGGAAGGACTTTGGAAAATGTAATTACCAAAAGTCTTCTAGTGTTCTTACTTATCAACAGGGCACATACAGTGCAGCAAGAGTTTTCCGTAACGTGGTAGCGCATTTTACAACGTTTAGTAACGTTTGTGGTAAAGGGTTAACACAATATACAACTTTAGGTACCTTGATTTAAATAAGAGCTTTTTAAGTGTTCGTAATGGGTTGTTGATTTAGCTCAAAACCATTATAAAAGGTATTTATCTTTCCAATATAAGCCAATGGAAAAGTATTTTTGGGTCCAATGGTTTCACAGACTGACATGGAAGTTACAATTCCAAGTTCAGGCCACTTCAAGAATTTGCTTCAGTGCCTGGAACTCTTCCTGTGAGGCTTAGAGGGGGACCTCCCAGATTGTAGAAGTAGACAAGAGTCAAGCCATAAAAGCTAAGCAAAACGTGTGGAAGTTGGAAGCAGCAAAACGTTTTTAGCCATCTAAAAGAGAGTCTGTGCTTGTAATGTCTGACGTTTTCTGCATTATACACAATATAACCCTGCTTAGATCTCCCTGTGCTCTGGTGTTGTACTTTGATTAGCAGAGATGGACAGACGCAAAAGCAGGGAATGAAAGCTATGGGGGATTGTAATGTTTGTTGTGCTCTTTCTCTATATCATCTCTATAAGTGTGTACGTTTAACCCACTCAGATTCTCTTTCATCCAAAGCGTACGTCCACTCTCTTTCTTTATTCCTTTTCTATCTCTTCTATGTTATGGTATGTATTATTATTCTGTAGGTCATTAGGGTTACCTTCAAACACCATTTCCCTCCATCCATCCCTTCACCTCTTACCCACAGTAATATATTCCATGAGATTCCATTTCCATTCTTGCATTCATGGTGGATCAATCATCAAACAAGCTGCCGCTGCTGTCTTAGCAAGTGTGTCAGTGTTCATGTGTGGAATAAAGAGGCGAGAGGGAGACTGACCTTTGTGTGTGTGTATGTGGGGGGGGGGTGTGAGGCAGTGCAGAAGGGCCAACAGAGAAGACAAGATAAAGAGAGCTCAGTGTTTAGTGATGAGGAGGCCTTACCGAGAATATGGAATGTAAGAGGAAGACTGCAGCCTCTATGAGCAAGCTTGCGTGAAAGAAGTACAGCTTAATGTGCTTGTGAGAGTGAATGAAAAAGTAAGTATGTGTCTGAGAGCAATACAAATACTTGTAGTATCCTCAAGGTGAACTGAATTATGAAATTATGCATGATAAAATACCTACAGCTCCTGTTTTCTTTGCTCAGTGCCTTCCTTAAGCTTTGAGAATATTTTTCTTACACGGAAAACGCTACATGGTGAAACCGGCTACCTCAAGTGAACTCACTCACATTCCTGCTGGATCGACTAGCATAATGGGTATGGCTTTCAATGCACTGATCATGAGAGAAAGTTGCCTTCAAGCTCAGTTTAACCTTTTCTGAAATTATAATTTGTTTCTGTAAAAGCACAAACAAATTAATAGACCACACAGCTGTTAAAGACTGTTGTATGTTTAGACTTCTTTAGATACATTCAGAATGTAGGATACACTGTTTTATTTATAAAATCTAAAGTCTTAACAAATGTTTTGGACCCATTATTCCAAAACCAATTATTAATTGTTATGGTTCTGTATGACAGTAAACTCCTTTAGCTCTGAATCCACCTGTATTCAGATATGGCCAATTGAAAAGGACTGCGAATCATTGAACAATAATGAATGCATTTCACATCACGTTTGGACGCCAATATTGGCCCGTGTACCATATTTTGAGAAACTATTTGCTTCTAGCAAGACTTGGAACCCATGTTTCATGGCTTCTATTCTGTAGCTGACCCTGAACAACTTGTGGAGGTGGCAGAATAAAATATACCTTTCCTCACAAGGTTTGATTATGTACCCTATTCCTATTTCTAGGTGTTTATGTCTCAAAAACGTAAGGTCTCGATGCCGAAGTCCATTGGTAATTCTCTTTCTGTTTGTGTTTCGACTTTTCCAAAATAACCTGATATAAGCACTTCCCCCATAAGACTGACTCATGCTTTGATTTGTCTCAGTGTTGCTTGTCAGAGCGCCTGCCTCACTATCTTTACCTGAAGACAACAGCTCATTTTAACGTGTTCCGCTAAAGTATAACATAACCTGACACAACCTGTTTTCTCCTGTGATGTCTGCAGACTGACTGCAGCTTGTGATGCTAAGAAAGGGCAAAGTAAAAACAAAGACAGCTTGGATTGCAAGTGCAAGTCTGGACGGTCCCATGTGCCTGTCACACTGTGTGCATAACCAAAAAGGTCCGAAAGTGTCACGACTTGTGATGTCAATCTTTATTTAGATCCCAAAATAATAACAACTTATTTTGTATTACTTTTTAACCTCATGATTTGTTTGGTTAGGCACCGAGGGGGTTTAAGAAGTCATACACCCCGAAGTAGTTACCACAGCGTTAGATTGTGTTACTGGTTACCCCGTACAGTACATTAGTGGCTAAATGGCATTTTTCTCCCAGCGTTTCAATGTGGTAAACTACACCAGATTCTCACAACTCATTCAATCATTTCTTCTAATGCAACTTTTTTATTTTTGATGGAAAACACCAAAACACACGTTAATTATGTACAAGAAAACATTTATTTTCTTTTGTTATGTTTACTTTATTATCACACATTTATTTTTGTCAGAATACTGCTTTATTTAGTTTACTTCTTTCTATATTGGCTTCCAATGAGAATGCCATTGGTAAAGTAAAATAACTTATAAATGCACCTTTTAAACTTTCAAGTTGCAAAAGCAGATATGTTCTGTTTCTGGTATTCAATGTGTGCAACCATGTTAGCTCGGTAATGCTGTATTGCTTTGGCTGGCCTCATGTGGTATTGCTCTGTAAAAGCAAGAGAAACTTAGCTTGCAGCCAAGCCTCCAAACTAAAACCACTGAACTGCAATACTGCATAATACTTTTGGATTAATGCAATTTAAATGAAAGTATTATGCTCCACTGTTTTATGTCAGGGCCCTGATACTTTAAAGATATGCATACTGCTTACAGA